GCTTGTGCAGTTGGCCCTCTATCCACGGAGCATCTCCCCAGCCCACATCCCTTCTTTAATCCTGTTTCCTGCTTGAAATGCGGGTGATACAAGTTACGAGTGCTTGGTGACCAAACAGACGACTAGCTCAGACTCAAGTCACGGACACAGCTTTTCACCAGGACACAATCACAGGACAAAGTCCCTGGATTTCCTCAGTAAGAAAGAGCGGCGCTCTTGTAGGCATCAGGCACATTTTTGTCTTTGTGAGCATTTTGCCTAATGTAAGAATGACTTTTAGCACAACCTCCAAACCACAAATGTCCTGTCATGTTTATTTTCAAGAATCCAAAAGTACTTCAAACGCTTCTGTTTCCAACATCCTGAGGCAAGTTTTAAAAGTTCAGTTTCGCCTCTCTGGAAACACTCAGACCCAGTGTCTTTGTAAGCTGTTAGGGTCACCAAATCCCCAAAGACACTTTTATCTTTCTGAAATGTCTACAACTCTGTTATTTCCATCATCGTGACTCTGCTGCCAGAGGAGAAGCTACTTAGGTTTGGAAGACTCATGACCCCTACATTTGTCTTTCCTCTCACTCTCAGGGACACCTCAGACATTTCTTCTTGTTTGACTTGCTCAACCTCCCCTGGACCAGCTGCCCGTGCTCCCAGCAGCTGCACAGGAGCATCAGCAGGGCAGCAGGGCTCACTCAGAAGGCTCAACAGGTGTCACAGGGGCTGATGCTAAATAAGGTCCCAATCCGCAAGTGTGACCTTGGCTCTGCTGCATCTTTCAAAGAAAGTGCCCAACTTCTTCAACCCCCTTTGTCCCAGAAAATTAGGACAGCAGGTTTCTATTCTTCACACTCAAGAGGAGATTTAAAAAGAGGATCACGAGCATGCTATTTCCCATCTAGGCAGTGACTCTCTAGACCACCACCCTTCCACTCCCTAAAATATAGAATGACCAAGGCTCAACTTTTCCCAGATGTAAAAATTGAATAGTTGACTCAAGTTCACAGTATTTTTCCCACTACAAAATAAGGTCACTGGGGGCTGGAGAGATGGCTCAGGGGTTAAGAGCACTGACTGCTCTTCCAGAGGTCCTGAGTTCAATTCCCAGCAACCACATGGTGGCTCACAACCATCTGTAATGAGATTCTGGCCTGCAGTCATACATGCTGTATACATAATAAATAAATAAATCTTTAAAAAAAAAAAAAGGTCACTGAATGAGGCAATCACAGCTATAAAACTGTAAGTTTTGATAGGTATCTGCCAAAGGTAGGGGGATATAACCTATGTCCTAGTAGAGTTGTATAAATTTCTCAATCTAGGTTTCTGGGTTAAAAGTGCAACCAATTCATTCCAAAAGTACAAAATTGAACCTCTGGCTTTTTGAAAAAACAAAAAACAAAAAAACAAAACAAAAGCAATAACAACAAAAAAGCTAAGGCTTAATACAATATAAATCCGTTGTTATCTGGTAGCTAAATGTCTTTTAAAGTATGGCTTATTCCAGAATAATGAATCCCATAAGATACTGGAATAGATTTTAAAGTTTGTAGATTTTTAAATTTTATTTTATTTTTTTGGTTTTTTCAAGACAGAGGTTTCTCTGTGTAGCTTTGCACCTCTCCTGGATCTCCAACTCACAGAGATCTGCCTGCCTCTGTCTTCTGAGTGCTGGGATTAAAGGTGTGTGCCATCACAGCCTGGCTAAATTTTATTGTTTTAAGGCTTATATTTATTTCCCTCACTTTATTAGTTACTTAAGAATTTTGTACAATGTATTTTGATCATACTCATCCCTCCGCACACCTCACCCCAGATCCACTCTTTTCCCCACCCATCCCACCTTGTGTCTTCTGTTTCTCAAACCCATCAAACCCAACCTGCGCTGCCCACACACTCCAGGACACGCAGCCACTAACTGGTGTGTGATCAACTTACCGGGGTCACACCCTACAGACTGACTCCTCAAGTAGCGAACATCTGTCAACAGACTCCCCAGCTCGTGGTGGGGCTCAGTGTCTGGCGGGGGCTTGCACAGGTTTGCACACGTTCTCACAGCTGTGTTGAGTTCCTATGTGCAACTGAAGGAGTTCAGTGGAGTTTCCAGACAATGGGAGTGACAAGACTCTCATCCAGGCTAACAGATGAAAAGTCCAGTGCCAGGAACAGATCACCTCTCTAGAGTCTTACATATCCCAAACATTACAGGCTACTGCCAACGTTCTTGGTTATCCTCCAGAACTTGATGGTCAAGGCACAGAGAAGAAGAATGCAGATTTCTTAGTCCTAAATCTGTATCACATTCCCTTGGCCCATGGCTCAGGGTTCACTGAGGAAGAGGGAGATGGAAAGATTTACCACATTCTCCAGGCACAACAGGGCAGTGAGAATGAATTTTTAGTGAAGTGTTTTGGAGTCATTCTTACCAAACTCCTTGAAAAAAATACAAGCTTTGGTTCTGACTAGCAATTCAAGCTACTCAGATGGAGGCAGTTTAAAGAAAAATGGCCCCGAAGGGGAGACGCACTATTAGGTGTGGCCTTGTTGGAGGAAGTGTCACTATGGTATTGGGCTGTGAAGTCTCATTTGCTCAAGCCATACCCAGTGAGACAGACCACTTCCTGCTGCCTGTAAGATGTAGGACTCTCATCTACTTCTCTAGCACCATGTCTGCCTGCACGTTGCCATGTCCCACTATGATGATAATGGACTGAACCTCTGAACTGTAAGCCACACTAATTAAATGTTTTCCTTTATAAGAGTTGCCATGGTCATGGTGTCTCTTCACAGCAAAAGAAACCCTAAGACAGATGGCTAAGGCAGGAGGAACATAAGTTCAAAGCCAGCCTTGGTTTACAGAGTGAGCTCCAGGCCAGTCGGTATAACTTTATGGGATGACTTACTGGATAAAAACACTTGCTGCACAAACAAAGACTGGAGTTCAGAATCCTAGAATCCACACTAACACAGGCAAGTAGGGTGGCCACCAGTAATCCCAGCACTTGGAGGCAGGACGACTCAACTGGCTGAGACTAGTCAGACTGCTAGCTCCTGGGTCAGTGAGAGACCACCCCCTTAGTAAAAACTGGAGTGCAACTGAAAATAGCGTCAACTCCAGTCTTCTGCATGCAAACATGCGTACTCAACACACACATCATGTGAAAAAAATGGTCGGGGAAGGAAAGAGGAGAAGGAGGGCAGGGAATACAGGCTGGTGATGGAGTGCTTGCCTAACAGGCACAGGCCTAAGTTTCTAAACAACTGTTCCTAACCACTGAGCCATCTCTCCAGCCCCTATTAAACTTTCATTTTAAGACTTTAATTGTTAAAGGTTTTTCTGAACTGAAAAATAGGAACTATTATTATTATAGTATTATAAAACTAGTCAAATTCACAAATATAGTACCAACATTTAATTTTATTGAAAATGAATCTCAATATAATGGTTCAAGCAGCTTTTACTAGCGTCAAAGCTGTTTATTTTTGTTACTGATTCTTAGACTGATTCCCCCAACTGCCAGCTAATTAGCAGAATCAAATAAAAAAAATTAAAAAAAAAAACCCCAAAACCAAAAACCAAGAGAAGGCCTAACATACCTATCCAGACAGCAAACCCAGTTTTCAACAAACCCCCCTTTACAGGTGAACTCCAAGGATAAGCCTAATATTAACTCTGATAATCTCCAATGTTCTAACAGCCATTTTCAAATTTTAACTTTTAATATATATACATTTCCTTTTCAAATATCTGCACAGTACAGTTTTTAATTTCTCTGTAAGTCTAACAAGATAATTTAATTTTCTACTTCTAGTTCAGTCAAGTGAAGTGTACAGACTAGTATCTTTAAGGATGTAAAAATGTGATTAAAAAAATCCATGCTAATGTCAGCTGATCTATTTTTTTCACACATCTTCAACCCAATTGAAGAAACACCCACCAAATACTTAGACTATGGAAAACCCGCTGGACATGCATGAGATTCAGAATGTCCTCACAGACTGCACCACCTGCATATGTTTCTTAAAGGGCTGTCCTAAGAATAACTGATCGGCGTCCCCAGACCCAGGTTTGGGGTTGTGTGAGATGTACTAGACCAGGACCTCTATGGGTGAGCTGTAAATCATCACTCAGTAAGCATCCCAGAGGAGTATGACGGGCACTGGAGCACTCTTCTCAGAGAATACATGTTCAGGAGGGGAGATGTCTATGGTAGGGGAGAAAATCTGGCCAGGAGGGGCATGGGTTGACAAAAAGCAAGGAGGAGGCTGGTAAGACGATCTGGTGAGGTAGGCACAGTTGTCAGTTAGAACCTGGTCAAGTGACATGAATTAAGCTCTCAGAAAGATGGCTTTTAACTATCTAAATGTAGTGAAATGAAAGCTCCCAATCCCCGAACAAAACAGAAAAGAGTCAGGAGAACCTTGCTTGAGGCTTTCATATAGGAAAAATCAATTATCTAAAGGGGGGTATCCTAACTCTTAATGTAACTGAAAATGATAATAAATATAAATACATAAAGATTAATTAAATAAAAAAAATCCTCTCAGTACAGGACTAAAACCATCTAAACAAATAGCTCGTGCTTTTTTTCTGATTGCAAACACAAGTGTTTCAAACTAAAGCCAGCATAGTGGGAGATGACTGATAGAACATGAGAGCTGGTACAATGGGTAGTCTTCTCAGGAAGAGTAGCAGGATTCTATGACATCCTTGGTGCCAAAGCCTAGATGATGCTTCAGTTTTGAGTCCACAGATTTGGTTTATATGTCAATTTCTGGGAGGAGAATGAAAGCAATTGGTTTGTGCGTCCATCAGCAAACAAGTCTGGAATGTCCAAAAAATGATGCTCATGTTTTCCACTGAGTATCTAGTATTTTTTTTTCAAACACATACCTATCACAGTATGTACCACTAACATACCTCTGACCTCCAGCCTCTAGCTGCTGACATCAGAATGAAGGGTGGGTCTTTACAAGTCCACGTGCCCTTTGGTTAGCATTGCAGTGGCACATGAAGGGGCTCAGTGACTTAACTGCATGGATGTAAAGTGCAGCTCTGATCAACCTTAATGCACTAGGACATTCAATCTGAAACCCTGCCTCCGAGAAGGTGTACTTCAGAGAAGCAGCATACACTATACTGGGCTCTTGTTAAGGTATCTTTCATTTGACACATTGAGAACTGAAGCACCTAACTAGTTAAATGACATAAAACCTCGTGGTTGTTTGAGTGTAATTGGCTCCCATAAGCTCACAGGAGTGGGACCATTAGGAGGTGTGGCTTTGTTGGAGTAGGTGTGGCCTTGCTGGAGGAAATGTGTCACTGTGGAGGTGGGCTTTGGGGCCTCATATCTTGTATAATATTAGAGGAACCAGCCTCAATATTATACATCCCAGGGGCTCAGGAGAGAACTACTAACGGCGAGGACTATTTTCAGGAAATAGAATCTCAGCACACCGAGATCTATAGTCCACTTGCTTTAATTCCTCTGCCATAACATCCTTTATACACAGCTTCAGTTCTGTTCTCATGTCTAGCTCCTTTCTTGCCTGATTTCTCTCTATATTTATCTACTGCTTCCTCTAAGTTCTATCTTAATTCTCTTGTCTTAACTCTGCCTCATCTAGGTTCTTTTCATCTTGTTCTTACCCAACTAGTACTTCCCCATCTGACTTTTCCTCATCTTCCAACTCGTTCCTCTGGTACTCTCTTCTAGCCCTACAACCTAGTTCTTTCCCATCTCAGTTTGTTCTTACCCGTCTAGTTCTTCCATTCTCTTTTCTCTTCTCTCCCCCTGTGCCCTGGAAGTCCAGGTATATAAAGGGAGGGTCCGAGCTAAATTGTGTAAAGCTATTACTTAATGTCTACCTGATCTATGCAGTGTCCCCTTGTGGAATTTACCTTAAGTCAGGAGACTTGTATGTGGGCTGTTATCACTGTTAGTCCTCGGAAATTGGGTGACCACCTAGGTGGTGTCTCCTTGTGGAATTTACCTTAAGTCAGGAGACTTGCCTGTGGGTTGTTATCACTGTTAGTCCTCGGAAGTTGGGCAACCACCTGGGTGGTGTCTCCTTTACTTCTTGAAAGTGGCTAGGGGAGATATCTGATTCCAGAGAAAGTCTTTCCTGAGGCTGTTCTCCAAATGCCTGGAATGTGTATGTCTAGAGAGTGATCAGTCCACATTGTTAGCCCTTCTTAGGGAAAAGTCAATTGGGAAAACTATGAAGGCAAACATGATTTTCATAACAGAATACAGCTGATATATAACAAGCTAAGTAACACCAAAAACTCCTTGGGATTTGGCTTCCTCTGGAGGAATTCCCTGATTCCTCCAGGTAGTGACTTTGCCAAAACCAGCTGAGTTCTTAGGATATATTCCTGCGGCCCGCAGCACTCATATATGCTCAAGCCATTCCCAGTATCTCAGACCACTTCCTGCTGCCTGCCGGTCAAGATGTTAGGACTCTCAGCTCCTTCTCCAGCACCATGTCTGCCTGCATGGGGCCTCGTTACCCACCATAATGATCATGGACTGAACCTCTGAACTGTAAGCCACGCCAATTAAATGTTTGCCTTTATAAGAGTTGCCATAGTCACGGTGTCTCTTCAGAGCAATAGAAACCCTAAGACAAACCTCAAAGAATTTTTAAAAATTCCTTTAGGCTGGGCGGTGGTGGCCCATGTCTTTAATCCCAGCACTGGGAGGCAGACAGGTGGATCTCTGTGGGCTCGAGGCCAGCCTGGTCTACAGAGTGAATTCCAGGACAGGCTCCAAAGCTACAGAGAAACTCTGTCTTGAAAAACAACAAAATTCCTTTAGAGCAGGAGTTAGCAATCTACGACGACATGCCAAACGCAGCCCACTATTTTTGTGTATTTTCCTGGGACAGTCATGTCTGTTCATCTACATAGTCTATAGTTGTTTATGTGCTAAAAGGCAGAAATAAAAATAGTAAAATTTATTTAAATTTCTGGTGTATTTGTGCATGCATACAAGTACACAGACAACAGAGGTCATCTTGGTTGATACCGCTCCACAGGTGCTGTCCACATTGTTAAGACAGGATCTCTCACTGGCTTGAAGCTCTCCAATAGGCTATGCTGACCAGCCAGCAAGCCTCTGTGACCCACCGGTCTCTGCCTCCCCAGTACTGGGATTATGCATACATACTACAACACCCAGCTGTTTAATGTGGGTTCTGGGGAATGAATTCAGGTTCTCAAGCTTACCTGGCAAGTTATTTTATTGACTAAATCATCTTACCATCCCCAAGATTAGTATTTACACCCCGCTCCGGGAACGTCACTGATGGAGTAGTAGGAAAAATAAAGATGAAGGCATCTAAAGCAGTTGTTATCTTAAAAATGAGTTATCACACAGAATGTTTAACTGCAATGAAATATATGACAGGATTATAAGGATGCTAAAGATATATGAAAAGTATAAACAGTTTTTGAAGCTGAAAGAATAAGGAAAAAAATGGGTGCCATAGAAGACACTGGTAAGCACTAATCTAGCTTGAAGAACAAAAAAAGACATTGGCAAGACTCACTATGGAGGACAATGTATAAAGAAGGATGGCAAGGGAGCCATCAAAGATGCTTGTGTTCAAGGTTTTATGCTTACAAGACTATGTCAGTAACAGAGGATGATCATGTAGCACAATCTGCTGACAGTGTACTAAATGCCAGGAATACTATCAACCCATCTTGAGAGTGCACACCAGGAAGACATGGCTGTGGTGTGGTGATGGGCAGACACACTGAGCTTTAGATTTAATGAGGTAGGTTAGTAAAGATAGCTGGAGAAGAGGTCTGGGTATTTGGGAGAAGGGCTGCAAGTACATCCAGATCCAGGAGCCACTTGTACAGACATAACAGCTGCTGACATCTTACACAGCTTCTGAAAACCTCACATTGTTCCAAGACCTATTTTATTTGAAAAGAAATGTAAACCAACATGACTAAGTATGTGTACCCTAAGGTGAGCAGCCTGCTAGAGGACAGCTAACATTACCTTAGCATACTTCCTAGAAGAAACTATTGGCCAAAAGAAGCTGTTATTTAAAAAATATGATGCTTAACACAGGCAACTGCCAGCCATGTGGCACTTTCATACAGAACACATTTTCTCCTTTTATCAAGGAAATAATCTCCAGGATGCTAAAAATCAAAACAAACAAATGACAAACAAACAAATAACAATCATTTACATTCATGCCTCTTTAGTATGATGCTAAACTGGATGTATTTTTGCTAAGCAAAATATCTGAGTATGTATTTATTGAGAATGAAAAATATAACATTTGTAATGGCAAGAAATTTGGCCTATAAGGTCTAATATAGAATGTTTTAATGTAAAGTAAATAGGTCTGTACGTCCTCTGTAAATTACACACTGTGGAAAGACAATGTGATTAGCTCTTACTGGAATGCAATTTCACGGCTAAAGGATCTTAGTCATCTGACTAATAAAAACTAGTCATTCTGTGTGAAAATAGTTGCAGAAAATGTGGTATACCTGAAACTCCGCAGGCTCAGCCTACTGTGATGACCTATCTAAAATCTTCCCAAGCTAACTGGTTTCCAGGTCCTGACTGTTCCCTGTTCAACCGCACAGCCTGCCCCTCACTCTGGCACCATGGCCTCTCATGGCACCTCTGCCACTCTCCGTCCTCTCTGCTTGTTCACTGTTAATACACACGCTGGGGTAAAGGTATCTGCTATCACAGGCCAGCAGGCGGTCCTGTGCCTACAATTACCCTTTTTACCATACATGCTTTGAGCTCCTTGAGTTTTAGAAGTGGATATTGTGTCAAACAGTCAAATTTGACTAGTTTAATGAGCAATGTACCACCTTTCTTCACTCTCCACAGCCTAATTTACCTTGACTTAAATCCAAGTAGAATAAACCTCACCTCACAGTTAATGAAGGAAAATGGAAAAAATATACTAACGAAAACAAACCTAATAACCAATAAACAAACAAACCCAGAAGACAAATCATTTCCTTCTGTTTCATGATTGTATTAAAATGATACAGGCTGCCTTCCTCAGCTCTGGAAAAACTGAATTATCAGGCTAACCAAATAGGTAAGTAGAGGGCGACTATGCCAAGTTGACACTCAAACTAACTAAAATGAGTATTATTTCATTTTGTAAAAGTAATCTGGGTGTCAAGTTTGTGTATTGATGCAAATAAACAACCCATCCATAGAGCCCCAGAAATGGTAACTGATGTCTGCGATTTGCAATTATCTGGTATCAGGTAACATATTTCATCCCATGTTCTTTTCTTTTAGCACAGATTAAAGCCAGGGCTCACCAAGCAAGTGCTGTACAAATGAGCCACATCTTGACTTCCTAGCTATGCTTAGGAGCAGGGATTTCTGCTGGGTGTGGTGGTGCATGCCTTTAGTCCTAGCACTCTGGAGGCAAAGGCAGGTGGATCTCTGTGAGTTTGAGGACAGCCTGGTCTACATAGAGAGTTCCAGGACAGTCAGGGATTTTGAGAACCAAGATGGACAGACAGCACCCCACAGTAGCAGTCTAGGACAAGAAGTTGTTGAATGCTCAGTGGTAGAGACTCATCTCCAGATGTGATCTAGTCATCAATGCTCCGTTCTGAGATCAGGGTTTGTCAGAACACCTCTCTCTGCCTCTCTATGTGATGCTCTTTCCATGACGGGGTATGCAGCAGCTTGCTGGTTATGTGAGCTCTTGATTTCCAAATTATAAACATAAACATTGGAACTCAGTCATATATTCTTGAAATAAGTGGGATTTAGAAACTTTTTAATAGCATCTGAGGATATTTTAAAATATTCTATTCTAACAGGTGATTGCTACCAAATTTATATTAAAGTGATTATTTTAGTATTTTAACTGGAAAGTGATTTTTATAAGTCTAAATTTTTGTTGACAGCCAAACAATTAATATAGTAGTTAGCTACTTAACCTAATCAAGTTACTTAATTATACATAAAGAAACAGAGGAGAGCAATCTTACCTTATGAAATTTTGCTGCATATTTTCAACCCTCATTAAAATCTGGACCCCGGTCTTTGAGTGTACATAGGCTTTCAATCTGCATCATAGTAGAGGAAGCAAAATTAAATCTATTTTAAGATAGTCTTTATGAAGACTAAAATTTTTG